TATATATATATATATATATATATATAAAAGAGAGGGGTGCCTTCAGGAATGCGGACACATGGCAATAAATTGGGGTTTGTCGGGACCAATGCTACGAGCTGCGCATGCAGCCATTTTTATGGTCCCGAATTTGGAGTATCCTACTTTCACACAATTAACAGGTGGACAATTAGACATCCAACCCGTCGCAACGACCCAACGATCTGGGCTCTGTCTCGGAGAGAGGCTCGGTGAAATAGACGCGACGGCCCTTCCACTCGGCACCGTCGGATCACTAAGGCCGACTTTCGTCCCTGCTGGCCGGGACAAAGGGTCGCGATCCTGCGAGGGTGAGCTAATGGATCTTATCAACGTCCATGAATGATAAATCATAGATCGAACCGCCGAATCGGAAAAAGTGAAGCACCCGCGCGAACGATAGTGGACGAAGCAACGCGTTAAGTATCCCGCCTGGGGAGTACGTTTGCAAGAATGAAAGAGCATGTTTCCCATCTCTTCTCGAGAAACAAGTGGGCTATTTCTTTGCAAAATTGTGCTCTATATATATATATATATATATATATATATATATAGGGGAACGTTCAAATAAAAACCATTCAATTTGTAAAAACCGTGAAAACTTCATTCAACCAATTATAATTTTTTATTTTGTTCATTTTTTTGTAATTATGAGAGGTTGATTAACCATTTTTATTGTGTAGGGTGTTAATCATGGATATTATCATCTTCATTATTTTAACTTTAAGGAAATATACCTTTAAGGATAAAGTTATATTTATTTGATTAAATTGAACAATTTAAGCCGGCAACCGAATAACCCAAAATTGTCTTGGTTCGGACGAGTTCTGTTGTTTCATAACTTTTTTGACACCCCCAACTAGGGGTGCTCATGGATTGAGTTGACCGAGTTAAAGAAATTTAATCAACACAACCCAATGCTTGCGGTTTGTAAAAATCTTAACCTAAACCAACCCAACCCAAACGAAACCAGAGTGCAACCCAACCCAACCCAAACCATACGGGTTGGTCGAGTTGATACTTTACTACATTAAAATATTTTTCTAACCTTGAATATGTTAGTTCTCTACTCATAATTTATTTTTCATCATCAACCATTTGATACAATTTATCTATACTTCTTACGTATATCACATTCAATTAATTTTCTCAATTTACATATATATTTTCCCCAGTTTAAAAAATTTAGAACAAAATAATTACACCAACCACTCTTTCGGGAACTTACAAGTGATAACAAACCACAAAAATGAATGAAGATAGTTGATGAGAGGATGAAGTTTTTTTGTTCCTACTGCTTTAAGAAGGAACAAAAAATGTTTATGTTTAGTTAAATTAACTTCAAAGTAAAATTGATCTTAAAGTCGGATCATGTTACGATTGATTGTTATGGTTTTGTTACGGGTGATGATTTGACTTTTCTGAGTAGTTTTAAAGCTTATGAATGGAAAATGTTGCAAATTGATAAAGAGGATAATATTTTTTTAATAAACCTTTGACGGGTTCTTGTGGATTTTATTCTTTCTTAAGGTAAAGAAATTGATCATAGAGATAAATGGAGGAGTTTAGATGACAGGAGATTTGTTGGCGAAAAACGTAGAAGGACGGTGGCYGGAGAAAAATGGTCGACAATGGAGGTGTAGAATGAGGCTGAATTTTATTTATTAAATAATCTWGATATATGTAACGAACCATATTAGGTTTGCATATCTTACAAAACCGTACATAAATTCATATAACCAATTCCTCAAAATAAAACTCCCGACAGGCTTCAAATAACAATCCATATAAGATGATTTCACAACTTTCTTTTCCCTTTATCCAATAAATGCAGATGTCCTAAAATACCTATTTTTTTTTTCAATAATACAACTTCTTAACATATCTTTGAGAGTCTGGATAGTTCTTTCACTCTGCCCATCAGTCTGCGGATGATAAGTTGTACTCAATCGGATTTCAGATCCCAAAGCTTTCTGTAACCCTTCCCAGAACTTTGAAGTAAACCGACTATCTCTATCAGAGATAATAGACAATGGAACACCGTGTCTGGTAACAATTTCTTTGATGTAAGTCTGCGCTAGTTTTTCTAAAGAGTATTTCTCTCTTATTGGCAGAAAATGCGCAGATTTAGATAAACGATCAACAATTATCCAAATCGCGTCGTACCTCTTTCGAGTTTGAGGTTACTACATAATGAAATCCATGGTAATGTGATCCCATTTCCACACATGTATCTCTAATTATTGAAGACTTCCATACGACTTCTGATGTTCAATCTTAACCTGTAGACATGTCAGACACTGTTCCACATATTTAGCTATGTCCCTTTTCAACCCTTGCCACCAATAAAAAGGTTTCAAATCTTTATACATCTTATTGGTGCCTGGATGAATAGAGTATCGGGACTTATGACTTTCATTTAATATAATGTTTCGGATATCTCCAAAACATGGTATCCAAATTCGCCCTTGAAAACACATTAGTCCTTCATCATTCTGTTCCAAGGCTGAAATCATTTTACCCAACCTTTCTTCTTTAACAAATTCTTCTTTCATAGCTTCTTGTTGGCATCTCTGAATTTCTTTACGAATGTCAGGGATCAGGTTCATTCTCATTGCCACAGTTTTAATGGTTCCACTCTTTTCTTTCCGACTTAAAGCATCAGCCACCACGTTAGCTTTTCCTGGGTAGTAGAGGATTTCACAATCATAGTCATTAACCAATTCAATCCACCGACGTTGTCGCATATTTAATTCCTTCTGGCTGAACAGATGTTGTAAACTTTTATGGTCAGTATAAATCTGACATTTYGTTCCMAGAAGATAGTGTCTCCAAATTTTTAGACCGAATACTACTRCARCTAATTCCATGTCATGGGTTGGATACTGCTTCTCATGATCTTTCAATTGTCTTGACGCATAAGAAATCACATTTCCTCTCTGCATCAGAACACATCCCAACCCTAATTTTGAGGCATCGCTATAAACCACCAAGTCTTTAGATCCATCTGGTAAAGTCAATACTGGTGCGCTACAAAGATGATCTTTTAATAGTTGAAAAGCTTCTTGATGTTCTCTTTTCCACTGGAATTTAATGTTCTTCCGAATCAATTTAGTCAATGGCACAACTATCTTAGAAAAGTTCTGAATGAACTTACGATAATAACCAGCCAATCCCAAAAAGCTTCGGACCTCGGAAAGATTTTTCGGAGCTTCCCATCTTGCAACTGCTTCTATTTTCACTGGATCAACTTTTATTCCTGATTCTGAGATGACGTGACCCAGAAATTGAACTTCTCTTAACCAGAACTCACAGTTGGACAATTTAGCATACAGCGTTTCTCTTTTCAATAA